GAAGACATCTTCTGTCTACCTTATCCTTCCCTTTTACAAAAAGTGAGAAAACTGAGGCCCAAAGAGATTGTTGTCACCACCTGTGTAGAGTGAGGATTTTTATTTTTGTGCTACTGTTTAGCATGATCTCATGAAATATAATAGAAAATAAGGGAAAACTTACCTGTTTATTAAGCAGCCTTGCTTGACTGGGATATAAACATCCATTGGTTTTCCTCCTTTTTTATGCCACCATCAGCACTCAGGGGCACTGTTGATATTAGAACAGTAGGAGGATCTTAATGATATTGCTCCAAATTCATAAGTTTTCACTTCTCTTTTTTTGAGACAAGATCTCACTCTGTTGCCCATGCTGGAGTACCGTGGCACCACAGCTCACTAGAGCCTCTCGACCTCCCAGGCTCAGGTGATCTTGCCACCTCAGGCCCCCAAGTACTGGGACTACAAGCGTGTGACGCCACTCCCAGCTAATTTTTCGTATGTTTTTGTAGAGACGGGGTTTCACTATGTTGCCTGGGCTGGTCCTGAACGTCTAAACTCAAAGGCTGCAACCACCTTGGCCCCCTGTAGTGCTGGGATTACATGTGTGAGCCTCACTTACTTCTGGTTATTAAGACAGAATTGTTCCACTTCTTAGTCTGATGTTGTTTCTGTCCGAATTTTTTCTCATGACTGCCTATTCACGCTGCTGTTTGATTTTTGGGATATATTTTAAATGATGGGTAGATTCACTTCCCCTAAACCATCCTCCTTATGAGCAGCCGTTATTCTGCTCTGCCAGTAAATTAATTGACTCATGATTCTGCATGTTGGGGCTTGTTGTGGATACAGACCATATTCTGAAACGTCCTCAGAGGTCGATGATTGTGTTTGCTTCTGCTGGGGGATGGGTGCTTGCCCTCAGCTTGTTTGCAACACCACATTTCCTCAAAGGAAACGTATTAACCAACGGCTATCTTCAAGCCAATGTAAGAGTCTTGATTCAAGAAACAACCTACCAGTCAATCTATGTCTAGGCTTTTCTCCCTCTCTTTGAAAGTGCCAGTGTTCTCTCTTTAACTGTCTTGAACTCATTTTTCTTGCCAGAACACATCATTTTGTCTCCTTTACTTTTCCATAGGCAGGGTTTTTTTTTAAATTTGTCGGCTAACTTCTTATCACATATCCCTGCTTGACAACCTTAAGCAATTTGTTGGATACCCTTGACTTGAGGCCCATCAATATGTCATACTTTGGGATTGGCAGAAGAAATGTTCAGAAGCATATTTTCCATAAATGATAGTGACAAATGCCAAGCACTTGCTTCATGTAGTCTCATTCGGTTCTCACGGGGACTTTATAGGTCAGTGGGATTGCGCCCGTTTAAGGAAACTGATACAACTGAGGTGCAGAGAGACGAGAGCGACTTTCCCAGAGGCACACAGCTAGTGAGTGGTAAAGCCAGTGGATAAGTCAGTCCCTGAAATCCATGTTTTCCAGTAGGATCCCAAGCTAATTGGGAGATAAAAATTAGTCCCCTTGCCTAGCTAGAGGGGTTTACTGGTTAAAGCAAGAGTAAGAAGCAGACCTTACCTTTTAGTTTTGTAAATTTAGGAGTGTATCATGGGTCTCACTGAAACTAAAAAAATTGTCAGCAGGGCTGCATTCCTTTCTGGAGGCTTAGGGGAGAATCCCTTTCCCTGCCCTTTGCCACTCACATTCCTTAGCTTATGGCCCTCATCCATCTTCAGAGCCAGCAATGGCAGTGGAGTCCTCACCTGTCATCATGCTGACATTGACTCTTCTGCCTCCGTCTTCCACATGTGAGGACTCATGTGAAGACATGCCACACACCTAGTTAATCCAGAATAACCTTTCTATTTTAAAGTCAGCTTGTTAGCAACCTTAATTCCATTTGCTCTCTTAGTTCCCCTTTGCCGTCTAAAGTAATATACTCATAAGTTCTAAAGGTTAGCATGTGGACATCTTTGGAGGGGCCATTATTTGAAATCTAAAATGGAGATGTTATTGCATCATCATCTATTGGGAGGTAGCCACTGGAGGTTTTTGCAGCCTTGTTTTTATATTTAAGCAAGGGTGTAAATGTGTGTCTTAGTCTGTTCAGGTTGATATAATGGAATACCATAGACTGGGTAGCTTCTAAACAACAGAAATTTCTCACAGTCCTCGAGGCTGGGAAGTTGCCAGCAGATTTGGTGTCTGATGAGGACCCTCTTTCTCACAGATGGCACCTTTTCATTGTGTCCTTACATGGTGGTAGAAGGACGACCTAGCTCTCTGGGATCTCTTTTATAAGATAAGGGGTCTGATCCCAATCATGAGAGAGCTGCCTAATCACCTCCAAAAGGCTCCATCTCCTAATACCATCACATCTTGGAAGTTTGGATTTCAGCATAGGAATTTTGGGAGGACACAAAACCAGACCGTAGCAATAGGGATGTTGCTAATACCTCATGAAGAAAGAACTTGAAGAAGCTCAGTAATTTGCCCAAGACCACACAAAAATTCATTTGAATCCAGGGACAAAACTATGTTTCCTGTGTTTTCTCTGTGTCACTCAGAAAATTCAGCATGAGGGAGAAATATGATTCTTAATATAGAAGAGCTGTTTTGGCTGGAACTTGGAAGTGAACAGGCAGGCTTAATTGGGCAACAGTCCCCATTTTGTGGGGTGTGACTGGCAGACTTATTCCAGGCTTCTTGCTAAGTTGTAAAACTTCTGATTTCTCTGATAGAGACCTTCAGAAGGAGGACTGGTGCTATTAAAGTTATACACATTTCATTCTAGAATTTCTTTTGAGGGCATCATCCACTCCCCTCAGCTGTGATTGTAAACCCCATTGCTCTTGGTCAGAATTTCATTCAGCATTAACAATGACACATCCTGTTATGCTGTGCAGGTGTGTTGCTGTTTATAGGAATTTAAGTTTAGATCATTAAACGTTTCAATACTGGATGTATTGCCAATTAAGTTGATGACGCAGAAAACTGCAAATAGGTGGGCAAACTATAAGAGGTGTTCCTCATTTGCACATTCCCTTCTAGTGTCTTGATAGTATAGCCCAAAAATGGTTTTAAGGCCTTGCTTCTTCCCCAGAGCTAAACTCTTTGCTTGCACCTTACAAAGTTGAGTGTTGTGAGGCCCCATCTGGTGCTGACTCCAATTCTGTCTCTAGCCCAGACCCACACTTGTGAGCTGCTATGAGTTATCTGGACATCTTGGGTGACTTAATCTTCCTAACATCCTTGTAAATAGGTGGATGAATACTATGTTTTACAATTGGAAAATGAAGACTCAAAAAGATATGGCAATTTGGTTTAAGTCCACATAGCTAGTAGTTAGGGAGCTTTGTTGAGAAAGAAAAATGCATGAGAAGAAATTAAGACTGTAGTTAATAATTATCAGGTGCATGTTAACGTTGCATGAAGTTTAACATAAATACATGTTATTCTTAACGTTAAAAAGTTCAAAACAAAGGTGGGGGTTCCAAGGCAAGTGGGTGGGGATAGACAAGAGATGGGCAGAGGTAGATGAGATGTGAGTGTTATGGTGTGGAAGTCAGTTGGAGTATAGCCACTGGAGGCTTTTTTGGCCCTGTTTTCATATCATAGTTATAAGTGGGGATGTTGCTAATGCTTGACTCATCAAAGGCTGAAACAAAGCCAGAGCTGAAGTTGAGTACGTGGCACTGTTTTATTGGTTAATCTTTCAAAAAGAGAAAAGCCTCTGTTTATACAGGCTGAAACAGTCATTTGACCTGTTCTTCAACTCCATCTGGAATTGCTTTGGGGTTAACTTAGCATTTCCCCTAAAGCACATATGACAGAGGGTTGGGAGGAGCTCGGATGGGGTTTTCATTCCTCCAGAGCACTGAAGCCTTATTTCTGAGTGAGGTGGCCTTGGTGCCAGCTAATGCCACTGTTTAGTGTGTGATGGACTAGAAGTAACAGGTTAATTTTGGCCAGTAGACATGCCAGCTGTGTAAACGGAACCAGCGAAACTATTTCTCAGTGCTGCCTCCCACCCCTGGAAGAAGACATCATGTTATCTACCTGCCCCTGTTGGCTTCCCTTGACCCATCTTTCCCATGCTGTCCCCTCCTCCCTGTGTTACTCATCAGTTCAAATTTAGAATAATTGAATGCACAGAGAAAGTGGCTTGTTCTGAAAACTTCTGACAAGAAATTTCCAGGTGACTTGGTGCTAGATTAATTTTAGCCTCTCTTATGGATTCACAACTGTTTTGCTATAGGACTTGAACTAAGACACTTTAGAATTAATTACGGCTGGGAAAAAGAACAATCTAAATGAGGCAGCAAACAGATTCCTAAATATGGAGCAAGACAAGTGGCTGTTTATTTCAGTGGGTCACTGGCATGAAACAGTGTAGTTGGCGTTACACGCAGGAATTACTCTTAGAGACATGGGAATTAAATGCAAGGTAAGTACTTGTTTGGACCCTGAAACTAACAAAGCAACTGTTTAAAAACAAATTTTCTTAAGACATTGGGGAAATTTGCATCTGCTCTGAGTCAAAGCCTGAGATTTGTGTCTGTGAAAAAGCTAATAGAGGAAGCAAGTTGGACAAAATTTAAGAAATTGTTGAATCTGGCTGATGTGTATATGTTGTTAACTATATGATTTTCCACATCTGTGATGATGAAACATTTTCGTATTGACTTCTTAAGTGTTTTACCTGGCCTTTCTGAGCCCACAGTTGAGTTGCACCTGCAATCCAAAGTGGTTACCCCATCACGGCTGCCAGACCACAGACATTTTAATTCTTGTTGTGTGGTGTGTTGCTGCCAGCCCAGAGCCAAAAAAACTGAATACCACCCTGAAGCTTTTGTAAACAATTGTCTTCAGCTTATCCAGAGCAATTGAGTCTAGAGTAAAGACCAAAATATTGACCTAGATAAAGATGACTCACCAGCCCTTGGAGGATGGAAAGATGGCCTTAAAGTAAAACAAACAAAAACCTTCTTTGCTTTATTTTGTAGGACCACTATGAGACCTCAGTCCTTCTATGATGGAAGTCATTCTTGTGCCAGAGGAGTGTGCCATATTCCAATGGCTGAGCCGTTTTGCCCCAAAACGAGAGAGGTGTGTAGTCTTTCTGCAAGGTGTACCAGAATAAATCATATGGGCTTGGGGTGGCATCTGGCATCTGGTTAATTGGCAGAGCAGGTGGCCCCATACCCTCACTCAAGTTTGCTTTATATTATGCAAAGTTTTATGAAGAGTTATTTCCTGTTGCTCATAATGCCTCTGTTACTCTCATTTTAAGCTAAACCACTCAAAGTTGCAACCTACCTTTTTAATAACTTTTGATTTTGCTATCTGGATAAGTTTTAAATGATTTAACATAGAATATCACATTACTCAAGAGTATGCAGTCTGGAGCCAGATTACTTGGGATCAAATCTCTGCTCTTCAACAAAGTAGCTGTGTCCAAGAGGACAAATTATTTGACATCTGTGGGTTTCAGTTATCTTCTAAAATGAAGATAATTATAGCATGTACCTTATAAGACTGTGTGAGGGATGAGAGAGTTAATACTTAATGAAGTCTCTGAACCATGCCTGTCAGTTGTGGAACATCCAATGGCTGGTAACTGCTTTTATGAATTAATTTACTGTTATTGATCTTCTAAAAATGGTCAGATTGGCAGCTGTTGCCTTTGACCTGAGTTTGGTCATTACTGCCCAGACTTCTGTCTACCATTATAGCCAAATCAGAACTATGGGGACAGCCCCACAAGGGCCAGTGGTGGTATAAGGTGTGGAATCATAGTTTTAGTTCCCAAGGAACAAAAATGGCTACCATGACTAAGAAGTCCGTGGCTTGGTCCACATGTGCTACTTCTCTTATAATCCCAGGTTTGAAAGTCAGGTACAACTCAAAAGATCAGAAGTATTGTTAGAGATTAACTGCTTCAAAAAATCTCCCTTATAAGTTAACTCAGAGAATATAAATACCTAAACATGTTAGTCATTCAGATAATGTTAACACCTGCATATAGAGAGGAGATGATTTCTTTTAGCATTTATGTTTTATCCTACATAATCACAGAAAACCCATTTCCTTATAATTAACAGCAAGGGCACCTAAACTGAGGACACAGGGATGGGAGAAATATTTCTAGTCTCAAACAAGAATTTGGAATATAAAACTGAGTACTGAGTGAAGCCATTTCAGAGTTACCACTGCACATGGATTTTCTCTGACTTCTAGGAAAGTATGTTTTTTACTTGTTTTTTTAAAAAAAAAAAAGTGGCAGGCAAAGTTTGTATATGTATATATAGCATGTTTCTGGATAGTTATCCACAGAATGTATCAGAATGCTGCTAGTCTTCCTCTGAAGCACAGATCAGTCCACATAATAAATTTGCTATCCTGGGGGAAATGGAGTATGGATAAAATTCTTGTCCACTTCAAAATGGGGGCAGCTTGGGAAGAAAAAGTCTAAGGAGACAGTATGCATGCTGTATGAATCTGAGTCAGTTCTCAGGCAAAATACAGTGATTTGGGGAACTAGGAGTAGAGGTAGGTGGGGGAAGCACAATGGAACTATAGAGAGCACATGTAAATGTGTGTCTGTGGTGATAATTTCCAGTAATCCAAGTTAGCCTCCCTTGAAGCCAAATTAATTCAGCTAAAGAACCCTACATAAAGACTGAGAGAATACTGGGGAAGACAGTTTTAAGAAAATGGCAAAATAAGCATTCAGAAAGAAATTTTTAAATATTGTCCAAAAACATGAAGAGTAAATAGTGCTGCCAGTTGGTAATTTTCACTTTTAACATCCACATGATCTTTCATGTACTGATGGAATAGGACTGTCATGATAAATTGTCAAGTGGCAAGTAAGATACTCAGTGGTTGTACCATATTCTACCATTTATGTTAAAGTATGTATATATACAAAGAAGTAAGTATGTAAATATTTATATGCAAATAAAATATTTTTGGAAAGTTAACAAAAAAAGCTGGTAACAGGAAATGGGGAAGATGGCAGATAAGAGACAGGGCTGGCCACCACGGTGGCTCACGCCTGTGATCCCAGCACTTTGGGAGGCCAAGGCAGGCAGATCACGAGGTCAGGAAATCAAGAACTTCCTGGCTAACATGGTGAAACGCTGTCTCTACTAAAAATACGAAAAATTAGCCAGGCATGGTGGCAGGCGCCTATAGTCCCAGCTACTTGAGAGGCTGAGGCAGGAGAATCGCTTGAACCCGGGAGGCAGAGGTTGCGGTGAGCCAAGATCATGCCACTGCACTCCAGCCTGGGTGACAGAAACTCCAACTCCATTTCAAAAAAAAAGATAGGGCTAACATGCAGCTCCACATGGATGGACAGAATGGCATATAGAGACACTATGATCTTCTGTTCCAAGAACCAGGAACTTACCAGGAAAACCAAAAGAATTCAAAGATCCTTTGAAAGAAGTGGCACACCACTGCAAATTCTGCAAAACAGGCAAAAAAACTGAGTTCCCAAAGTGTGAGTCGGGGAGAACCTACACATTGCCACTGGGGAAATCTAAAAATCCATTTCATGGAAGAAGAATTTAACCTTACCTAAAGATGAAACGGATTTAGGGGGTTATGTGAAATATGAAAGTAGAAGTAGCAGCGGGAAGTGCTTTGGATGTACTCCTAGTCTCCAGCTTGAGTCCAGGGAAGCCAACCCTGACTGTATCTCACAATGGCCCTCAGGAAAGGCAGCCAGTGGAGTTGGAGAGTGGTGGCAGGGCAAAGGAAGCTCCCAAATGAAATCAGTAGTGGTTTCAGCTGGGCACAAATTTTCTTGGGCAGAGTCCAGGGGACCAGTGGGAGCCGTGGCAGATACAAGTGAGTACGGGAGCTGCTGCCAATGGAGTGGGCAGACAGGAAGGGGTGAGGTCCAAAGGCCATGCTTGCTTTCCCAGTGGGGTAACTCACATCCTGGGGCAAGGTCTAAGCAGGGCACTGCAGGAGTGAAACTAGCCTCACCAATTGCATAGTAGCTGGATGAGGCCTCTTGCTGCTGGCTATCCCCCATTACCCTGGTGAAGTTTATGATACAGCAGAGGCAGTCAAGATCCCCTCTGGAACATAAATGCAGTGGCCTGACAAACCATCCCCAACCCTTAATTTCCCACAGTGGCTACAGCAAGCCCTGACCAAGAAGAGTCTGAGCCCAGAACCACCTAACCCTGCCCCCACCTGATAGTATTTCCCTACCCACCCTGGAAGCCAAACACAAAACATAGAAACTCTTTGGAGCTTTATTGCCCTGCCTATTGCCTGAGAAACCAAAATAGATACCTTGGGCATCTTAGGGCAAGCTTAGAGCCCACTGCAACTACTGCAGCTGGTGCCCTCTTGAAAACACCACCTCCTGGCTGGCTGTCAACTCAGGCCATTACAGCAACTCATGAAAGAATAACCCTGATCCCAGGACAGAAAAGACAACACCTAATTTCACTGCCTGCAACATCCTAGCTAACCAGAGATCCTGAATGTGTCCACATGACAACTTCACTGCTAGCATAAGCAGCATTCAAGAGAGCCAGCACACTAAATATACCTACAACCAATGAGTCTTGCAGTTTACTTCACTTCCCTGCCACCTCTACCAGAACAGGTGCTGGTAGCCACAGCTTGGAGACCTGAAGATGGATCACATCACAGTACTCATTGCAGACATCCCCCAGCACCAGTCCAGAGCCTGGTAGCCTCAATGGGTGGCTAAACCCAGAAGAGCAGTAACAGTCACTGCAGTCCAGCTCTCAGGAAGCCCCATCCCTAGGGGAAAGGGGAGAGCCCACATCAAGGGATCACCCCATGGGACAAGAAAATCTGAACAGCAGGCCTTGAGTTTCAGCCTCTCCACTGAAATAGTCTACCAAAATGACAAGGAACCAGAAAAGCAATTCTGGTAATATGACAAAATGGGATTCTGTAACATCCTCAAAAGATCACACCAGCTCCCTAGCAAGGGATCCAAACCAAGAAGAAATCTCTGAATTGCCAGATAAGGAATTCAGAAGGTTGGTTATTAAGCTACTCAAGGAAATAGCAGAGAAAGGTGAAAACCAGCATAAAGAAATTTTAAAAAACAATACAGGATATGGATGAAAACTTCTCCAGAGAAATATAAAGAAAAAATAAATCACAGCTTCAGGAAATGAAAGACACACTTAGAGAAATACAAAATGCAGTGGAAAGCTTCAACGACAGACTAGAACAAGTAGAAGAAAGAACTTCAGAGCTTGAAGACAAGGCTCTTGAATTAACTGAATCAGACAAAGAAAAAGAATTTTAAAATGAACAAAACCTTCAAGAAATTTGGGTTTATGTTAAACGGCAAAACCTAAGAATAATTGATATTCCTGCAGAAGAAGAGAAATCTAAAAGTTTGGAAAACTTATTTGAGGAAAACTTTGTTGGCCTTGCTAAAGATCTTGACATCCAAATACAAGAAGATCAAAGAACACCTGAGAAATTTATTGCAAAAAGTTGATCAGCTAGGCACATATTTATCAGGCTATCTAAAGTCAAGATGAAAGAATTTTAAGAGCTGTGAGACAAGAACATCAGATAACCTATAAAGGAAAACATACCAGGTTAATAGCAGATTTCTCACAGAAATCTTAGAAGCCAGAAGCCAGAAGGGATTGGAGTCCCATTTTTAACCTCTTGAAACAAAATTATTCTCAGCCAAGAATTTTGTATCCAGTAAAACTAAGCTTCATAAGCTTCATAATTAAAGGAGAGATAGTCTTTTTCAGACAAAAAAAAATGCTGAGAGAATTTGCCACTATTGAGCCAGCACTACAGGAAATGCTTAAGGGAGTTCTAAATCTTGAAACAAAACCTCAGAATACACCAAAATACAACCCCATTGAATCATAAATCTCACAAGACCTATAAAACAATAATACAATGGCAAAAGAACAACATCTTTGGGCAAAAACTAGCATGATGAATAGAACAGTACCTCACATCCCAATACTGATGTCGAATGTAAATGACCTAAATGCTCCACTTAAAAAAAGGTACGCAATGGCAGAATGGATAAAAATCTACCAACTAAGTATCTGCATTCTTCAAGAGAG